AGCCCCCATCTTGAAAATACCCGATGCAAAACAGGGCTGACAGAGCGGCTGAAGTGGTAGAGCACCTGCCTAGGAAATGTGAGACCCTGAGTCAAACCCCAGTACCACCAGAAAAAAGGAGGTGGGGGTGGGGGTGTGGGGGGGGAAGTACTGGCACTTGCTACATATGAACTTTGACCTTTGAAAACAAAAGCCAATCACATAAGACTATATATTGCATATTTCTGTTTATATGGATTATTAAGAATAGGCAAATCCATAGAGATAGCAAGATTAATGGTTTCCTAGGGATAAGGAGTTTAGGAGACTCTAAATGGGGCATGACTGCTAATGGGGTCTGGGTTTCTTTTGGGGATGATAAAAATATTATGAGACTGAGGTGATAGTTACACAACTTTGGGAGTACACTAAGCACTGATGAATTGTATACTTTAAATGTATTTAATTGTATGTTTTATGAGTTATTTCTCAAAAAACAAACATGTAAGGTGGCAGAAATGTTAATACAAGCTGGGTGCCAGTGGCTTATGCCAGTAATCTAGCTACTTTGGAGGATGAGATTGGGAGCACTGTGGTTCCAGGCCAGCCTGAGAAAACAGTTTGCAAGACTCCATCTCTAAAATAGCCAGAGCAAAATGGACTGGAAATGTGCTAAAGTGGTAGAGCCCTGAGTTCAAACCCCAGTCCCACAAAAAAAAAAAAAAAAAAGGAAAAGAAATGTTAACATGATACAGTGACCCGATCTGGATTTAGATGCAAGCCCTAGAATCTGGTGGGGAAGTAGGAACAGAAAATGAGTGGAGCCCAAAGGTGGGTGCAGCGGCCAGCCCCCCACCACATGCAGGAGCCTGCTTACCCGATTCACCTGCCTCTGGCCTGTCACCAACCTGACTCTGCATTTCGTGATGGTCTGCCTGTCCTCCTTCCCACTCTGCCCTGGGAAAGAGAAAGGATGGGCTGCCCTGGAAGGCAGAGGCCTTCCGGCTCCCTCGAATCCCCCACACACATCCTGTCCCCACCCATGCGTCCAGCAGCCCGACATCGCCCTGCACATCCCAGTCCTGTGCCGGCAGCTATTATGCTATAAGAGCTCAGGAAGCGTGCGCTCCAGCAAGGCGCTACTTTGCGGGCTCACGCCTGCTTCTGGGTTCCAACCGAGGACCCTGCGAGCCCGGATCCTGGGTGCTCCGCTACAGGACAGTGCAGGTTGCAGGAGGGTTGAGGCGGCAGGTCAGAGCTGTTGAATCGACCCGGAGAAGCAAAGGGAGGGGGCTGCGCGGGAGTGTGTTCACGGTGGACACGCCAGGTGAACAGAGTCAAGGTCATAAAGCAGGTTGAGGAGGTGCAAATCCCCACAAGTGGATGGCGAAGGGCACTACTATCGCGCTACTGCCGCCTTTTACTGTTTACGCTTTTAAAGCGTACTGTATACGCTTTTACTGTTTCTCAACTGTCCATTCAAAACCCAGTTCAGGGTGGCTAGTCACCAGTCTCTGGGCAAGAAGCACTGATCCAAATTAGAGACCGGAACGTCACAGTCCTTAGTTCCTTCGAAGAAGCCTACTGCTCTCCGAGAAGGGGAAGGGCAGGGTGGTTCTCTGCCTGGACTCCACCCCACCCCATTCACTTATTTTATTACTTTATTTTATGGTACTGGAGTTTGAACTCGGGGTGTTGCACTCTACCACGTCAGCTACACCTCCAGCCCACCTAGGCTAGTGGCTCTAAATGGAGCCAGTAAAACTCCCTATGGGGCGTTTGGGAAATTTTGTAGGACACTTTTGATTGTTCCAATCATGACATTTCTTGGAGTATTTAAGGGTTGAGGACCAGGGGTCCCAGCTATGCGACGCGCACACACACACTCTTAAAAGATGCATGAAAGAACATGTTACCTGGATTTATAATCACATGTAAAAATGTGTCTTTTTTTTCAGTTATTTTTAAATATTTACTGATCACCTACTATGCCAAGCTTATATACACTTAATTTTCCAGGACTATAACTAGTAGGCAATTCAGTAGATGTTTTTTATTTGTTTGGTGAATTTTACCTAGAGTTTTACCCAGAGTTCGGGTGTGATTACTTCAGAGAATCACACCAGAGCTCATGTTAAGGTGCTGGTGCAGTCCGTGATCAGAAGATTCTGGTTTTTGCGCTCCAAATGGAAAAACCCAAGCAGAGCACATGGATGGGGTGAGGTAGGATAGCTTTATTGAGAGAAGGGGAGTCACTGGTCCTGCCAGGGAAGGAAAGGGAAGCAGAAGAAGGGGGCACAGGTGATGCAGGTGGAGTCCACCGGCAGGAAGAGAAGGGCAGAACCAGGAGGTTCCCACTCAATAATGAATGAGTGGGGAGGGGCATGGGCAGTTCCCAGCCAGGTGAGGTTGGTCTGGCCATCCCCAGGCAGCCTACAGGAGCCCACACATACCTACTTCTAGCCTGCCTCACTAGTAATACCATATTTGAATCTGAGCTCTTGTTGGGGGTCAGAAAACAACACCCCAAAGTAGAATTCTTTGACATGCTCAGCAAAAAAGACAGCTTTAAGGTCTCTTAAACTTTCACTCTTTTCCTTTCTCTTGATCTTTCTTTCCCAAAGTGAAGGGCCTTCACCTGCAATTCCCCTAGCTGCCTAAAATCCCAGATCCACCAAAGTGAAACACAACTGTTTTCAATCTTCTTACTGACATTTCATTAACCAAAGAGATTAAACTCATATCACAGAGGAAGGGGCTGAAAATCAAACACTACACCTAGAACCCAAAGAACTTTGTCTCAGGCCATTGTCTTCTTCTGGGTCCATCCAACTCCCCTAAAAATCATTTCCTGGGGCCAAGTGTGGTGGAACACACTCATAATCCCAACACTCAGGAGGCTAAGGCAGGAGGATTGCAAGTTTGAAGCCAGTCTGGACTACATAGGAAGACCTTGTCTCAAAAAAATAATAATTTACTATCTCTCTAAATTGCCTACAGGCCCCTCTCTCACTTTCTGCTCCCCTATGAAGAGGATATTTAAATCTCAACCATCTGGTCTTTGAGCTCTCATATTTTGTATGGCTCCCATTAACATTTACACATTCATAAATGTGTTATGCTTTTATTAGCCTGAATTTTTTTTTTTGGTAGGAGTGGGGTTTGAATTCAGGTGTAAAGTAGGTACTCTACTGCTTGAGCCATACCTCCAATCTATTTTGCATTTTTGCTCTAGTTATTTTGAATTTGGCATCTCCCGAACTTTTTCCCTGGCCTGGCCTCAACTGAGATCCTCCCAGTCTCAGCTTCCCCAGTACAGCTACCTGCACAGGATAAGTTTAGACTGTGAATTCTAAGTAAAAAGGTCATTCTCAGCCAGGTACCAATCACACCTGTAATCCTAGCTACTTAGGAGGCAGAGATCAGAAGGACAGAGGCTCAAAGCCATCCCAGGCAAATAGTTCACGAGATCCTATCTTGAAAAAAACCATCACAAAAAAGTGCTGGTGGAGTGGCTCAAGGTGTAGGCCTTGATTTCAAGCCCCAGTAATGCCAAAAAAAAAAAGGTCATTCTCAGAAATCCTGAGCTACCAGAAGAGTTTTGCCTGTAGGTCTACCTTTGGAGGAACTGTCCAAAAAAGAAAAAGGATCATTTTATTGTTAGGGAAAAAGATTCAACAGCTTGGTACCAAGTTTTTCCTTGTTATTTCCTGTAAGGTGAGAGCTGCCCATTGGCTATATGAACTCATGGTGCCAATAGCAATGGAAGTATATGCATGAGAAAGCAGCAATTACCTCTCAAACCAGGAGCAGACAGGATAGAAAGGGCTAGTCCTGCTCCTTTCATAATCTCTCAGGAGAACTCAAGGAGTCTCATTAAACCATGACCTAAAGACTATCACCTAGGTCCCATCTCTTCAAAGTTCTACCACTTCCCAATACCCCCACCCTGAGGATAACATCTCCAATCACAGTGGGCTCTTGGAGGACACAAATTATATCCAAACCAAAAGGTTAAGTCAGAAATTTTCTAGTTCCTTTTGTAAAATTAGGATTCAAATTTAGTTCTGAGTCCATTGGTATTCATGCTTTAATGCTAGTCCCTTAGAAAATTTGAATTTGTAATGGGAGTTTTGGGTTGCATGTGCTGTAGGCTCAGCAGAGGAATTTAACAGGAAACTCACAGTAGCAACTAATGCCCCATTCAGATCTGGCTCTATGAGACAGTCCCCAGCTTTGCATATTTTCCTGCTAACAACTAGCACCTGCACATTACTTCCAGATACTGTTAAGAACTGAAAGAATCCAGGAGTTTTATTTCATATTATCCCACAACCCTTTATATATAGCCAAAGACAGACTGATGTGTATTAACAAAGGCCACTCCTTTGTGTCAACAAACTCTAAGGTATACTCTTTGCTCTAGAACTTCCCATGGGATCAGGCTGTGTGGGACTTCTGAAATCACACTCTCACTTGGTTTCTTCCCTCTCCCTACCCTTCATCCATCACTCCGTTACTGGTTTTCCATGGGAGGCCTTTCTTAACAAGCCGCTTGCATCCAGATCACTGGCTCAAGAACCTGCTTCTGTAAGAACTTGACCAAAGACACTCACTGGCTCTTCAGCTTGCAGACAGCTAAGAATACCTAGAACACCACTTCAAGTAACTATGGCATTGTGTGTCAGCAAAAGTCTTCCAGTTATTTCTGAAAACAATAAAAAGAGGAAGTGATCTATGGGGGAGGGGAAGCCTGTACATCACTGCACCAGGCTTCAGTTAGGCCTGTGTGCTTTACCAAAGAGATATAAATATCTCTTCAGTTTCTTAGACTTTTAAAACATCTATGCCATGGAGGACCAAAGACAAATAACTGCATCCAACTAAGAGATGTGTAGAGTTCAGTGCATAGTAAGGGCTTGATATATGATAACTGCTATTTTTATTTACCAAAAGTGGGGTTTTTTTTTTCCTATCAGCCCTTCATGTGGCTTACCAAAGTATCAAAATAGTTCTGTTCATAAGGTTTACATATAGATATTTTATTGTTTCTTTTAAGAGATGTAGGATCCAAATGTGGTCTTCAGTTTTTGTCCGCAAATCTAGACTGCAGTGAGACAAACAAACAGACAGTGCCCAAATATATTATGCAGACAATGCTTGCATTAACATGATTATGGCCTCCTTATTTTGTGCATAAAGTGTACAAGCATATCAATATTAAAAATCAAGAAAATGGTTTCAAATTAGACCAATTCAAATGAAGCATCTTCAAACCTGAAAAGAAAAAGAAAGAGTAGTAACGCTTTTACTTTACTTGGAATACAGATCTCACCATCAAATTTGTTAATTTCTGTTGTACAGATCACCTTTCCAAAAGAAATAGGAGCAGGCAATTCTCCATACCCATTACAAAGAGCACATCCCAGTAGTTTTTCCCATTGGTTTTTCCAAAACATTAGAGGAAAGAATACTAGTATTAGAGTTTAGGTCCTGGCTCTACCATTTAGTAACTATGTGATTAAGTAGACCACTTAACCTCTCTGATGTTCCCTCAAATCAATTTCTCTGTCTTAGAATGTAACAGAAACTCCTAATGGGTTTTCAGCATCAAGGTACCCTGGGCAGTACAATTTCATTGAAAAGCTGGATTTTCTACTGCTGGACTCCAACTGAAGATACAGAGAAGTCTGAGTTCCTCTCTCTTTCTTGCTTCTAGATCTCCTTGTAGATATATTTATTATGTTACTTTTATATAGAGTTATACAGTCTGTTTTTATTTTTTCCTCAAGTAGCCTAGAGACCTGTAGAAAGCAAACACAGTGACTGCATACTGGGGCTGAACAAGACTGAAGGAATGAGACATCTGCAGAACTGTGTCACCCACTCCTCTCCTTTCTTCTAGCTGAAGAACAAAGCAACTGCTATGCGAAGGAAGAGGGTGGTTTATTTTTGAAGGGCTTCTCAGGAGAAATGCCCTAGGTAGAAATGGAAGAAGAAAAACCAAACCATTGCAGGTGGTATGGATAACTGACAGTCTTTGTCTTACCATAACCACACTGGCAGCTCCTCTGCTCTCCCTTTAGAGGGTTAGTGATGCTGGCAGAGCCAGACCTGTGGCTAAACTTATCCATGTCACTCCACAGGAGAAAGGAATCCTCATAGGATTCTTCTTTACCTGCTGACATGCCACCCTGATCAATGTCCTCCATACAGTAAGAGTTTTTATGTTGGAACTATCTATAAATAGTCCCTAGGATAATGAAACAAATGAACAAACAAAAAAACTTTGTTTTTGGTGGTACTGGGTATGGAACCCAGGGCCTCCAGTATGCTATGCAAGCACTCTACCACTCAGCTACACCTCCAGCCCCAAAACCCATTTCTTAAGGTCAAAAACCCACCTCAGTGATGCTGATCAGTTGTCCCGATCTATGAAAAAGAAAATGGAAAACATTAAGTTTTACTTTTAAAATACTGTGTACTAACAACTGTCAAAATCTTTTTGCAGTAAGAGAGGCAGAATAGACTGCTGTTCCTAACCTTGAACTCTTGTTTAGAAATATCCACTAGGCCCCACCCCGCCTACTAGCCTCAGAGCCAAACTCAGCCAGAGTACTGAAGGAGTCTAGGATTATAGGAGGCCAGGATAGTGGGGGGCTTACAGGCCAAATCCTGTGCCTCCCTGAGATGCTCCTTGGTGCTAAGTGTCCATGAGGTTGCCAGGAAGGCTGGAGAAGGTTGCAGGTAAGAATGTTGGGAGTGTGTGTGCATTCCTGTGAGTGCTGCTCCTGCTCCCCTCTCTCACTGCAGGGACACTAGAAGTTCAGGGAACATGCTATGTAGAGTTCTGTCAGCAGGTGCCACTAATCAGTGCTTTAGGAACATTCCCTGACAATCCCAGTAGGCAGATTTTTTAAAATATCAAAGAAGATATAAACTGTGACTCTACTCAGCAGTTAAGGAAAGAGCTTGAAAACTTACCCCACTTAACAAGAGCAGGACTCTGCAGAGTGACGTGTGTAACTCTGCAGGCATATTCATCTTTGTCATTGGGGACAAATTCAGTGTGGGCCAGGAGATAGAAAGACCAGTCCTTGCTGAAGGACAGATCTGTCTGTTCCACCTTTTCTATCTTCTCTCCATTCTGCAACAGGTCTATTTGAATCTGAGGTGGATGAAACCCAGACACATAGCAATTCAGGAAGTTTGGCTTCCCATTCTCTGCTGGGTGACGGGAGTACACTTGAATTTTTGGAGTACCTAAGAAACATCAGAGAAAGACAAATGAAAATTGCCAGAATATTTCACTTGGTCTCAAGCTAAATCAAAAACCAAATGTTAAATCTGGTCATCTTTTTCTCCCAGTTTCATTTCCATTCTGGCCAAATGAGCTTCCACTTTCCCAAAGGGCTATGTCCATTTTGAGAAAAAAAGCCATAATTTAGTATCTTTTCCATGTAATTCTCCTTTACATGCCTTCTGTTTTTTGTTTGTTTGTTTGTTAAGCCAGATTTCTAGCAGTACTATCTGTCACTGGAGATTGTGCTGAATTGTTAAGAACCTTTAATGTCTTCTCAGCACCCATCAGACTCCTTAATATATCACTCAAGGCCCAATCCTACTTTCAAACTTCATTTCTAATTGCACATACCCTCCGTAGTAGCCACATCAAGTTACTCATGTTATATACTGCTTCAGCCCCTTCCATTTTCTTTCTTATATTTACTCCTTTCCTCTTTGGTGTCTGCTGCTGCCTAGATCTTCACCTATCTGACTCCCTAATATGTATTAAGTGTCTGGTACATTGTCCTGGACACAGCAATTGTACTTTAAGTGGCAAGTGTTACTATTATTACCTCCTTGCTCAGGTTTCTATGAAAGTCAATCCAAGGTATGTTACTATCCAGAGTGTATATACCATATTTCATACCTGATTTCATGAGCTAGAAAACAAAATTTAAATTTCTACAGGAGTTGGCAAGAAAGTGATTGAGTTGGGCTGGAGTAAATACAATAGGGAGAAGTTATGACTATGACAAAAGAGAAAACAGTCTCCATTATACCCAAATGGAGCAATGTATATGAGAATGGGATTTACCTTTCCAGTTGGCACCCTCAAATGATTGCTGTAACTAGACAGGTTGGAAATACTGCCTCATGCTACAGAAGAGTGGTTTCCAAAACAGAGTGCATAACTAGACCATCCAAGGAGAAGTGGAAAGAAAATATTATAAACTCTATTTCATTTTTCACCTATATGAAGTGTTACTGTGCAGAATACATAATTTGTCACATGTATATAATGTACTTTGAAATACACATATATTCAGGGTACATGATCACTAAAGAGTAACTTCTTCTCCATGTCTGGGAGGTGGTAAGGAGAACAAAGAATACCAGGTACCCTGACCAGAAGTATCTGTAAAAACACCAAGTTATCGAAAGAAAGGTTACTAGGCCCCATCAAGAGCTGGATTGAGGATTCCAATGAAGCCTTGATTTTTTTTCATGAAGTTTAAAAGTGAAGATAAACTACAGAGCTCTTTGTATTTGAGCTTCTAATAATAAGAACACAATAAATGCCACAGGGGCAGAGCATAATTTCATCCTTCCTGGAATTCTCTCTTTGAAGGAAGCAGGCAAGATATTGCCATAATCACTAAAATGAGGACAAGTATCAGACTGCATATGAATCTGGGCTCAGCCACTTACTAGTTTGGGAGAGGTTAAGTTTCTGAAACTTAGCTCTAAAGGCCCACATTAAAACACATGCTGGAGGCATGGCTCACGGGGTAGACAGCCTGCCTACCAACCACAAAACCCTGAGTTCAAACCCCAGTACCACCAAAATACAAAAACACATGGGTGATGATGGATATAAACCTTTAGAGGCAATCACCATTACATATTCCTTGCATGTCTTTCAGAAATGGTGTAGGCATGGTATGTATTACTTTGGAAATTTTCAAAAGTTTTTTAAAGATGTTGATTGTTATTTTTTGAAATGGCATCTAGCTGGGGCGTGGCTCAAGTGGTAGAGCATCTGCCTAGCAAGCAGGAGACCCTGAGTTCAAATCCCAGTACCACCAGAAAGAAATGACATCATCAGCAAATACCAATAATGGTGATGATGTATGCTTTGTTTTTAAATAAATTATATTCAAATTAATATAAATTACAAAGTAAGTTTTCTTAAATACTCTATTTTATAGGGGTTTCTTATTCTGTTATTTTGATGGTGCTGGGGTTTAAACTCCGGGCCTCATGCTTGCCAAGCACTCTATCACTTGAGCCATGCATCGACCCATTTTTGCGGTGGGTATTTTGAAGTACTCTTGAACTTTTTGCCTGGGCTGGCTTGGAACCCGCATCCTGTTTATCTCTGACTCCCTGACTGAGCACCAGCTCCAAAATTACAGGGGTTTTGTGAGAGGAAAGAATGAGAGGGCCCAGTACATTGCCAAGTATTTAAAAAGTATCAGAATCTTGGGTGTCAGCAATAATTTTGGTAGCCATAGTGGATTGCCCTATGGCCAGTTTTACAACCTTCCTGACTTTTAACAAATCTTTGCTTTTTCAAAACCGAAAGTAGAAGCTCTGTGCACTGGAAAGAACCAGGCAAGGAGCCAAAGGGAAAGCCTTTTGTGAAGAAAAGTCCAGGGCCATGGCCGCCCAGATTGCTTGAGAGAATCTCACACAGGAAAGTGAGGATGCATGTTTCTAAACAAAAAGAATTATAGCCAAAAGGCCTACACTACCACCAAAGGTGGTGATCAGGCTCAGTTTCAATCCGGATTGTCTGTCATTTATCCCCTATGCGATTTAGATTACGTTACTTAAAATCTTGGTGTCTCAGCTTCATCTGTGAGAACACAACTCCCTCAGCACAGCCTCGCGTTTGCTAGGCAGGCGCTCTACCACTCGAGCCACCCCACCAGTCCTGTTTTGTGATGGTTTTTTTTTTTTTCCCAGATGGGGTCTCCAGAACCCAGGCTGGCCTTGAACCGCTATCATTCTGATCTCAGCTAGGATTATAGGCATGAACCACCGGCACCGGGCTGCGATTATTATTATTATTATTATTATTGAAATCAACATGTAATAAGAACAAGTGTGTAATGATGCGAAAGCGTTCTCTAACTCCGCGGATGGGGAGGTGCCCAGGGCAACCGAACCTCGCCGGCGCCCTCGGGGTAGGAAAGAAGCAGGGTGTCGGCGGCCTGACTTCCCCGGGTGGTGCCTACCACGAGCCCCAGCCATCTGTCTCCACTCACCCTAGCCTCCCTTCCCTCCAGCAAAAAGCGGCGAGAACCCCTCCCCGCCAGGTCGCTCGGAAGCTCACGGAACTGTGCAGACCCTCCCCGCCCGGGTTCCCGCGCGAAGGAGCAAAACCGGCAAGAAGCGCGCGCCCGGGACTCTCAATCCCCTCCCCACGGCGGTCACCCACCATTGCCCCAAAGACCGGGCCCTGGGCTAGTCCCGACCAGGAAGGAGAATTTAGCAGAGGGGGCCCAGAGTTAGAGAGCGCCAAGAGGGCCAAAGAGGAGAGGAGAAAGGGGGAAAAGGGCTAACGGGGTAGGGGGCTAAGAGACACTCACGCTGGATAGCGTCGGTGCTCGTCAGAAAGAGAAGCGCCAGCAAGGCCAAGGCGAAGGTCACCGAGCGAGACATCGCGACCCGAGTGCCAGCGCTGGAATGCTTGTCGGGCAGGGCACGCACAGTTATAGTCCCCGCGCACACAGCCAATCAGGACCTAGCCCTTCCGGGCAGTCACCAGTCTCCAAGCTCGCGACGCCCTCCAGGTTAGAGAGAGGGACTTCCCCATTTTCAGTTTCATTTTCTTATAAAGTCCCGTGATACTTATGAAGGAGTGGACTGGGTGAGTTCGCACTCTCTCTCTGCATCGATCTGGGATGCGCGCTTGAATTTAGGGCGCCGGACCGCTCATCCTAGGACGTCTGCCTGGAAGCACCTTCAGTCATCCAGAGCCCTGGCTTTGCGAACTGGCCCCGGAGATGCTAAGTGACTTGCTAACGGTGTCCCAGCCAGTGAAGGACTTAGGACCCGCAGTTTTCATTCTTGGAAAGTGAAGCCCAGAAAGGTTAAGAGCGTTGAACCCTGTCTGCCTGTCTGGCAGAACTCGAACTTCGGTTTATAACTACAGCCCAGGAATACACTATAAGGTTTCAGGATTCCCTGGACAAGAAACACCCAGGAATCCGTCCTGAGGGCAGCTCAGAGAACCTTCCAGGATGAACGAGGGTCTTTCCTGCTTCTTGAATCCCCTGCAGGGAAAAGTTTCTTTTTGGAAAGTGCTGTGCAGAGAACTTCCTCCCAGTGTCCTCACTATTATTTAGGAAACTTTGTTGATGGAGTCGTGAGGGAGCAGGATAACTGATATTAAAGGCAATAACAGCCTAGAGCTTCCAGGCCCCTCAGGTACAGCATTCTCTTCCCATTACCATCCGAGAACAGTGCCTGGCCAGTACAGTGGGTGCTCGGTAAACTGAATGAATGAGTGAATGTATGAGTAAACTCTAGGACGTAAATTATCCCACACACACTTTTTTTTTTTTTTTTGGGTGGGAATGGGGTTTGAACTCAGGGCCTCATGGCTTGAGCGCTCTACCCTTGAGCCATACCTCCAGCCCAACAAGATTTTGGGTTCAAGATTATCCTGGGCTACCTAGTGTGAGCAAAAGAGGGAGGGAGGGAGAAGGGGAGACAAAAGGAGGGGAAGAGAGAGAAGGGAAGGAGGGAGAGAGAAAGAAGAAGAAAGGAAGGGGGAGACAAGAGGGAGAGAAAGAGGAGGGAGTGAGGGAGGAAGAGAGAAACACATGGAAAAGAGGGAGAGAGAAAGTAAGGGAGGGAGAGAGAAAGAGAGGAGGAGGAGAAGAAAAGAAAAAGAGAAGAGAAGGAAAAAAGCAAACCACAACCCCATGTTCTGACACACCATAAATGGGTGTGTCATGGCTGTCATTACGTGGTAGCCAAGTCAGGCATTACTGAGCGGAACAGTGAGAAGAGGAAGCCGATCATGGACACAGGGAGGGAGGGTGATCTTGGAAATCACCGTAGTTTCTGTTGAAGAGAGTTGTGTTGGGCTTCCCCAAGGAGCACAACAAACAACTACCGGGTTTCTATTACATAGTTTTTAACTTAATAATCTCCATTGTGGAGACCCTGTCTAAGCTAGATAAAGTAGAATGCTCTCCATGGACCTTATGAAATAAGATAGTGCACAGAGAGACTCATACAGTGCCTAGATCATAAGGGTTCAATAATGTTTAATAAGTAATATAAGTATTAATGTTATTTTACTAGTTTTCTACCAGCCCTTTCTATAACTTTGAAATGTAAAATAATTGTTATGCATAAAGTTATGAGTTAAGACACTTTTGCCCCCTCCCCTTAAAAACTCATGCTTAAGACTTGAAATGTTAGTTAAAAAAAGCAAAAAAGAAAAAGACTTGAAATGTTAGTGTTGAATTGTCCTACAAAGTGTTCTAGAAGTATAGGAAAAGACACAGCTATTTATTGCTTTCAGTTCCTTACTACATTACAGAACATTGCTAAACTTAAAATTCATTAAGATATATTCTGTTTTAGTCTCTTAAATTTTTTTTTGACCATTTGATTCATTTAATTTCTAATTAATTGGGTGGGAAAATTTCATACATCAAAATTAACCCAAAGCAGTAACTTTAACATCAGGGCTGGGCATATTTCCACCTTTACGTTAACTGGCCATGATCGTATACCTGTCACCCTAGCTATTCAGGAGGTGAGGAGAAATGTGGTTCCAGGTCAACCCAGGCACAAGTTAGTGAGACTCTTATGTCAAAAATAAGGCAGGCATGGTGTGCACGCTAGTGGTCTCAGCTACTTGGGAAGACAGAGGCAGGTGGTTCTCAGCCTGGGGTTGGCCCACAGAAATACAAGATCCTATCTGAAAACTAAAAGCAAAAGGATTGAGGGGCATGGCTCAAATGGTAGAAGCTTACCAAGTTCAACCTGTAGTACCATTAAAAAAAGAGGGACAAAACATACGTACTTTTTTGTTTTGAAAGAGATTACCGTTTTTCAAACTTAATGGATTCTATGAGCCAAGATAAAAGCAGGAACCACTATAGAAAAGTTAGAGAACAAAACCAAACTTTTCTTATCTCTCAGTGAGTTGAAAAAATGGTTTGTTCAAGACAGGGTGCAGCTGATCCTCCTGCTACCACCTTCTGGGTTGTTGGGATTACAGACGTACAACCACTTTGCCCACACATGATCAACTTTAAAAACTTGCATGAGTGCTATCATGCCGTATCTTTCCATGTCTGGCTTTTTTCACTTAACACAATGTCCTCTTGGTTCATGTGTTTTAAAGAACCCTCTCCCTAACAGGGCTGGCAGAGTGGAACAAGTGGTAGAGTTGCCTACCGGGCAAGCGTGAGGCCATGAGTTCAAACCCCAACACTGCCAAAAAATAAACCACAGCAAAAAAGCTGGGCAAGGTGGCACATGCAGAAAACTCCTTTGAGCCCAGGAGTTCAAGACCGGCCTGGGCAACATAGTAAGACCCTGTCTCAGAAAAAAACAAAATAAGTTGGGTGCTGGTGGTTCACACCTGTAATCCTAGCTATTTGGGAGGCTGAGATTGGGAATATCAAGTTTCAAGGCCAGCCTGGGCAAATAGTTTGTGAGATCCCATCTTTAAAATAATTAAAGCAAAATGGACTGGAGGTGTGACTCAAGGGTAGAGTGCCTGCTTTGCAAGCATAAAGCCCTGAGTTCAAACCTCAGTCCCACTAAAAAAAAAAAAAAGTGAAAATCTGCCTGGCGTGGTAACACACACCTGTGACACCAGCCATCAGGAGGCTGACACAGAAGAATCGAGAGGAATAAAGCCAACCAAAGTGACATAGCAAGACACTGTCTCAAAAAAAAAAAAAAGATAAAAGTTTATTTTTCAGTTTTCTGAATGTGGAAAACTCCTCTATTTTTTGTGGATTTTCATTTATGATATGTTTTGGATAGGAAGATGAAAAAAGAGAATAAAGCTATTTTTTTATTCATATGTGCATACAATGTTTGGGTCATTTCTCCCCCGTGCCCACCCCCTCCTTTACCCTACCTGCTCCCTCTCTCTCTGCCCCCAGACCCCCTCAATACCCAGCAGAAACTATTTTGCCCTTATCTCTAATTTTGTTGAAGAGAGAGTCTAAGCAATAATAGGAAGGAACAAGGGTTTTTGCTAGTTGAGATAAGGATAGCTATGCAGGGAGTTGACTCACATTGCTTTCCTGTACATGTGTGTTACCTTTTAAGTTAATTCTTTTTGATCTAACCTTTTCTCTAGTTCCTGGTCCCCTTTCCTATTGGCCTCAGTTGCTTTAAGATCTGCTTTAGTTTCTCTGCGTTGAGGGCAACAAATGCTAGCTAGTTTTTTGGTGTCTTACCTATCCTCACCTCCCTTGTGTGCTCTCGCTTTATCATGTGATCAAAGTCCAATCCCCTTGTTGTGTTTGCCCTTGATCTAATGTCCACATGAGGGAGAACATACGATTTTTGGTCTTTTGGGCCAGGCTAACCTCACTCAGAATGATGTTCTCCAATTCCATTCATTTACCAGCGAATGATAACATTTCGTTCTTCTTCATGGCTGCATAAAATTCCATTGTGTATAGATACCACATTTTCTTAATCCATTCGTCAGTGGTGGGGCATCTTGGCTGTTTCCATAACTTGGCTATTGTGAATAGTGCTGCAATAAACATGGGTGTGCAGGTGCCTCTGGAGTAACCTGTGTCACAGTCTTTTGGGTATATCCCCAGGAGTAGTATTGCTGGATCAAATGGTAGATCAATGTTTAGCTTTTTAAGTAGCCTCCAAATTTTTTCCAGAGTGGTTGTACTAGTTTACATTCCCACCAACAGTGTAAAGCGTTCCTTTTCCCCGGCATCCTCGCCAACACCTGTTGTGGTGGTGTTGCTAATGATGTCTATTCTAACAGGGGTGAGGTGGAATCTTAGTGTGGTTTTAATTTGCATTTCCTTTATTGCTAGAGATGGTGAGCATTTTTTCATGTGTTTTTTGGCCATTTGAATTTCTTCTTTTGAGAAAGTTCTGTTTAGTTCACTTGCCCATTTCTTTATTGGTTCATTAGTTTTGGGAGAATTTAGTTTTTTAAGTTCCCTATATATTCTGGTTATCAGTCCTTTGTCTGATGTGTAGCTGGCAAATATTTTCTCCCACTCTGTGGGTGTTCTCTTCAGTTTAGAGACCATTTCTTTTGATGAACAGAAGCTTTTTAGTTTTATGAGGTCCCATTTATCTATGCTATCTCTTAGTTGCTGTGCTGCTGGGGTTTCATTGAGAAAGTTCTTACCTATACCTACTAACTCCAGAGTATTTCCTACTCTTTCCTGTATCCTTTAGAGTTTGGGTCTGATATTAAGATCCTTGATCCATTTTGAGTTAATATTGGTATAGGGTGATATACATGGATCTAGTTTCAGTTTTTTGCAGACTGCTAACCAGTTTTCCCAGCAGTTTTTGTTGAAGAGGCTCTCTTTTCTCCATCGTATATTTTTAGCTCCTTTGTCAAAGACAAGTTGGTTATAGTTGTGTGGCTTCATATCTGGGTCCTCTATTCTGTTCCACTGGTCTTCATGTCTGTTTTTGTGCCAGTACCATGCTGTTTTTATTGTTATTGCTTTGTAATATAGTTTG